CCATCTCCTATATCATGTTGGGTCTCTTTGAGATGGTCTGCTTTTAAAATGTAGCTGGCATACCTTGGAGGTGGAAAGCTGACTAAATGATAGCCCTTGCAACAGTGGCAGACCTTGAGGGCTCCCATTTCATCAGCTCCCTGTGCAACACTAAAATTCGGCACCCCACCCCATCGAGCCTCACCCTTTCCATTCTACCTCATAGTCGTGGTGCCCCTGAGGCTCTGCACCCAGTGTGACAAGACCAGTTGTGCTTCCCTAAATCCGCCTCTGCTTGCAATTGTGCAATATCAGTCTCAGTATCTGAAACCACATGTTTTGAAAGGACGAACATTTGTTCTTTGCAGCTCCCCACCTCCAGAATCCCTCTGCCTGTTCCCCTTTCCTCATGCAACAGAGACAGCACCAACTTTCTCAATCAAGGTTTGCATTCTTCAGTCTTAAATTCAAAGTGTCTCCTTGCAGGTCACGCAAATCATATCCTTGGGCCCTTTCTGATGCCCTTGTGAGACCATTTTGATGCCTTGGAATTTATTTAGTTATCCCTTCATCTGTAATCGTGGCTGTGCTCTCCCCCCCTCCCTCCCTCCCCCCCCCCCGTACAAGTGGGTGTGTATTTTGGCCAGTATAGCTTTACTTTCCTCTTGGAATGCTTTTTAAGCCTCACATGTTAAAATGCCCTCTGTGTTGGTCTGTAATGGAATACCTAATGAAGCTGGAATGTTCCTGGCTTTAGCTAGTGCCCTTTGCTCTGAGATGGATCCTCCCCAACAAGAACCGGGGCTTCCAGAATGACTGTCAGTAGCTATGCCATCTCTTGCTTGCAGATAAATCTTATTTGCCACTAATTTGAATTGCTTTGCTTTTGTGAGTTGAATATTTTTGCAGGTCAAATTGACCCTTCCTGGGAAGAGAGAGCTCGTGGTGCTTCTAATTATTTTGTGTCTCTCTGTTGCTGTGGTGTGGGACCTCTGGCCTTCTAGATGTTGCTGAATTACAACTCCTATCAACCCTGGCCACTGGCTATGCTTGCTGAGAACTCTAGTTCAGCAACATCTGGAGGATCAAAGGTTCCCCACCTTGGTTCTGTTGGTTTAAGTATTGGGAGATTATGAGAAGTTACAGGGTTTTCCCAAATTAGAGCTTCTGGGCCCCAGCAGGGAGGGCTTATGGAGATGGAGGAGGAAGAGGGGAGAAGAGTCTGGTGGGAACCAGGGCAGCTTGTACGTGGTGGTCATGTAGCAGCACCCCAAACAAACATGGCTATAAGCCCCACACAACCTGAGGTTAGGTTGCCTGGAATAGGGCCTCCATCTGTACAGCCCTGCCTAATTCCTCTGTGGGAAGCTGTCTCTGTGTTGGTGCCCCAGCTTTGGAATCCCTCTGAGATGTGACTGGAGCTTACACCACTTGAGTTTCCTGCAGTGATGTTGGGTTTTCTGGATTTCTTTTTCAAGAATCAAAATACAATTAGGGTAATTTCAGTTGGGAATTTTTCTGATGCCCTAAAGCAGACACCCCCAAACTCGGCCCTCCAGCTGTTTTGGGACTACAATTCCCATCATCCCTGACCACTGGTCCTGTTAGCTAGGGATGATGGGAGTTATAGTCCCAAAACATCTGGAGGGCCGAGTTTGGGGGTGCCTGCCCTAGAGAGTGGTCTAATTTAGCATATTTGTTTTTCTTGTACTTAGTAAAGAAAGGTAACAAGCTTGCTTAATACTGTATTTGTAATTGGCATCTGTTCATTGTGAACTTAAGAATTTATGAAATGGAAAGTTTCCATAGAAAAATAAAGCCCCACTTCGTTAGTTTCCAGTGCCAGGTGAAAGCCTTTCTATTCACTCAGGACTTTGGTGGATATTAGTGTCAGGCTTGATGTGGTTTTTTTTTTCTTTTTATGCTTGTAATTAACTGCCTTGTTTTCTAAGGCACTGTAGTATAATGTGAATTTGTATTTTATTTGTAACCCTCTCTGGAGCTGCATTGCAATGGAGTATATTATAAACAATATTGAGGTGGTTGACTAAAATATTGGAGGTTGTATTCAGCTAGGTTTTACTTAAAGAAGATCCACTGAAATTAATAAACATGATTAAGTTGGGTCCATTAATTTAAGTAAATCTGCTCCAGTAAAGCCTAGCTGAATAGCACCCTGGGGGAGGGATGAAGAGAGATTGGGCATACACACAAATTGAGACCACCCATCTTTTATACCCTCTACCAGCCTTATGCTAGGAACTGGAGATAATATCTTAACGATGTTTATTACTGTGATTCCTCAATAGGAGTCACCTTCCCTCTCCTTCAGCATTCTAGTGTGAGTTCTCTAATTCCCATTAATAATCCTCTCTAGCATTGCCAAAGCTCAGCTTGCTGGTGGCCTTCTTCTGTTAAAGTGTGTGAGTGTGTATACATAGCATTTCATAAGGTTATAGCACATGCTCAACTATCATCACTGCTGTCATCTACTTTGGAGTCTATCCAAATAAATCCACTCTCCTTTGGCAGTGCATCCAAGCTGAATCTCTCTTCTAGGAAGTCAGATACCTTCTTCTTCAGATGCATGCACACGAAAGCTCATACCAAGAACTAACTTAGTTGGTCTTTAAGGTGCTACTGGAAGGAATTTTTTTTGTTTTGACTATGGCAGACCAACATGGCTACCTATCTGTAACTGCTTCATACAGTGCAGATAAACTAAGGAATTTGCTACCGCAAGATATGAGGGTGGCAGATAGGTGAACACAAGTCCTAACAAATCAGTTAGGACTTGTGTTCATTGTGAGTTAGGACTTGTGTTCATTGTGAGTTCTGGCAATTTGAATCTGACAGCTTTTAGTCTCTCGGCCCACTGTCTTTCCCTTACCCCCTTTGCCTTTTGCAAGTTTTTCTGGCTGGCATGCCCTAGAGAGGAAGTGGGAAAATGGGAGTCTTTGTTTTTCTACTAAGTCAGCCTCTGACCCACTGCAGATCGCTGGGACAGTTAAGAATGAAGCAGCTGAGCTTTTGTTCCCACAACTGTGGACTGTTTTGGAGCGACGTGATAGAGCAGTGGAACCGTCTCAATAGGGAAAGAATTGCTGGGTTGTTGTTGTTTTGCCCAGTTCACTCCTGTCCAACAGAACTCTGAAGACTGAATCAAAGCTTGTGTTGCTGCCAAGCTTAAGAAGTTCTCTTTGGGGAAATCAGTCTTCCTTTGTGGGGGTTTGTGTATCAAAGTTGGTGGCAGTATCTCACACAGTACTTCAGACAAGTTCACTCTGAATCATGGAAGGATGCATTTAATCACTAATACCATGTATTTATTACAGTGACTCACAAACTGATCAAATTTATTATAGCAAAACATTTTGGCTTCTACTTCCTCAGCCGCTCCAATGTGAGTCAAAGAGTGCTGTAGCCAGGTTGTCAGTTACAGAATGTGGAGGACTGAATATCCCAAAGTGTTGCATTTGCTGTAGCTGAGTGATGCTGCAGTATCCTTTGATTGACATCAGAGCAGTAGAGGAATGTGGAAGTCAAAGCACTTGAAATTCAATTTATTGTGTGTAAGTGTGTGTGTACTGGGGGAGTGTCTTTTAGGCCTGGTAGTATGAAGAATTATTGTGGACCAACACCCACTTAGCGATCTTAGAATCTTTGCTCAGTGCAGGATCTGCAATGCAGGATACAACTTCAGCATCCCTGACTGATCGTTACAGCTACTGATCATGATAACTGAGTTATGGGATAAGTCAGTATCAGAAGCCGTATGCCCTGGATACCAGTCACTGGGGGAACACAAGTGTAGAGTGAGCACACATGTCTTGCATGTGGGTTTCCCATAAGCATCTGGTTGGCCACTGTGAGAGTGGGGTGCTAGACTGGAATAGTCTGGTTTAATCCAATAGTGCTCTTTTAAAAATCCACAATGGAGGCTTATTTCGACACTTAACTTTCATCTGCCAGTAAGGGACCATAGAAGTTTTATTATTTTTACACCTGGAATGCTGAGCTCCCTGAGATGCACTGGGCCAGCCCAGATGCTCTGAAATATTCCATGTGAGCACGCCACTGCATAGCAGAAGTAACAAATTATTCTCCAGTTAATGTTTATGATTTTCTGGTCATAATTTGCATCAATTTAAATGTTCCTTGACTAATATTTTGAGGTAGTGAATATGGTGCAGTAGGGTTTTGTGGTGCAACAACAAATATGCCAGATTGCTGCTGATTTCATGATGAGACTATGTTTCAAGAACTAAGACATAGTTAAGCTACATAATTCCTGCTGGCTGCTTTATTAGATGGTATCCTATAAATGTGCAGTATCCAAGTTTGAAAACCAGTGATCACGTAATAGAAGAAAAAATAGAATAGCCTATTATAACATGGTAGATTTGTTTTATACTTAACCTTGAGTATATGTTTGTGGTTAGCAGGGGGAACTGCATGAGAAGGTAAACAACTCTGGATATGGGGGGCGGGGAATAAGGGAAGGCCTTATGGCAGTGAGGTCATTTCCCAATGAAGCTCTGGATTGGCAAACAGAAGTTACTCACTATACTAAAATTACAACATTTGAAACATGGGTGCATGCTGCAACAAACTGCTTAGTGGCTGCGGCTTCTTGCAGTGTGCAACCTGTTTGGGGAACCATGTACTTCCTCCTCAGCACTATTTAATTGCATGATTTCTATTACAAATGGCACAAAGGGCATTGCCATTCTGTAATTTTAAAACCACCATTAAAACAACAGTGTTTGCTGACAGAATATAACAAGGCTGAAACTCAAATTCTAACTGTCCTTTCAGTCACTGACAAGCCTTCCAAGAGCTGTTTTGTCCGCTTCTCTTTCTCGGCAGTACCATAGTTTTGTGATTCTGAAACCGCCAGTCATTGTGATGCCTGCATTTCAGAGATAACTGCTGTTTAGAGTGCCTTAACGTGTAAAGCCTGCTAGCTTAGTATCATGCAGCAGCGCCCTCCTAACGTCCGTTGTTCTCTTGTGCCTTAGGTGAGGCTGGTGCAAACATCATCCATGTCTCTAAGGAGGCTCGGAAGAGGTTTCTTGGCCCCTTGCACCCCTCCTTCAACTTAGTGAAAATCATCCGTACCTGCCTATACAAGACCCTGCCAGACAACGGGCATGAGGTGGCCAGTGGACGCTTGGGCATCTCGCTGACGCGGGTCTCAGATGGAGAGAATGTCATCTTATCGGAGTTCAGCTCCAAGGAGGAGCTTATCCAGGCAAGTAATAACATGATGACTGCCTCGTTGCTTTAGATGTGAATCTGTAGGTTCCCAGCCACCAGGGACTGGGACACCTGACTTGACTATGCTTTCATGGTGAAAGGCTGTCTTGTAGCTATCACTTGTTCCATCAGATGATATTCACTTGGTGCTCTGGATACATAAATCCTCCCCCGCATGCTATTTAGGTTTCATGTGGTGTTTTCCTGTCTCTCTCAGGCATGTGTTTGCAGCACTTTCATCCCAGTGTACTGTGGCCTCATCCCTCCCAGTCTTCAAGGAGTGGTAAGTAAGCCATCGTGGACTTGGGCTTCCAAAATTGTTTGCATTGGTACGAGGTCACGCTGTGATCCTTGCAAGGTTGGCTGTTACTGTCTCCGCATTATACATAGAGGGCTAAAGCTGAAGAAGTGGCTTGCTACTGATTGTCTCATTTTCATTCCTGTTGGAACTGACGGCCATAAGCCACAAGCTTTAGTCATCGTGTCATCATCCCAGGGACACATCAGGCAGGCTATTAAGTCAAAGGGAGCAGGGATGAGGGGGAGTATCTTGCTTGATGCTGAAGCCACAAAGTCTGTATTAGTCATAATCTTCAGATTATAAAATGGGTATTTAATATGTGTCTGTCATGACTTGCGTAAAGTGGTGAAACGCCCTGCTATATGCAGCTGTGTTTTATCCAGCGCCTGACAAGGGTGCCAACAATATTGCCTTAAGAAAATAGATCTGTGTAGCACAGTAGTAGATGTCAGGAGTTTTTCCTCTTGTTTTTCCCCCAAACTTGAGATTATTTGTTTTCATGCAGTCCTGTTTCAGGCATCAAGGGTGGTGTGTGTGTGTCTAGCAGCAAATAAGCCAGCATGTCAGCTAATTGCACTCTTGTTGAGGGCACAGCACACACAGCCTATCAGTGCAGCAGCACCCTTTCCTTGAACTCTTAGACTTTAGTGCCACTGGAATTGGAGATTGCTCAGCACCACCCAGGCCAAAGGGCAATAAATCTGGGGAAGGCAGGAAAAACCCTCTGGCCCAGCTTTCTCTGAGAAGCCCCATGTGACTATTTCATATATAACAGTAAACCACAACTTATGGCTCAGGGAAGTGAGGCAGAAGCTCCTGAAAAAAACCCTTTCTTCTCTGACAGCGTGGCTGTGAGGAGGTGTTGTCTTAAACCAGGGACCAGCAACCTTTTTCAGCAGGGGGCCGGTCCACCGTCCCTCAGACTATGTGGTGGGCCGGACTATATTTTTTTTGGGGGGGGGGGAATGAACGAATTCCTATGCCCCACAAATAACCCAGAGACACATTTTAAATAAAAGGACACAGTCTACTCATGTAAAAACACGCTGATTCCCAGACCGTCCACTGGCCGGATTTATAAGGCGATTGGGCCGCATCCAGCCCCCAGGCCTTTGGTTGCCTACCCCTGCCTTAAACTAACTGCAGTTAAACATAATGTCTGAACCCTGGTTAGGCTTGTTTACATACTTTTCAATGTTACTTATCACTTCTATATTATTTTTTGGCCATTTTACTATTGAAAATAAATAGTAAAATAAACAAACCATAATATCTGAACCCTGACATGCTGTGGCTACCCTTTTTCAAAAGGAGCCAACTTCAAACCATAGTTTTATTACGGTGGCTTGTTTCAGTTGACCACACTTCAGGGTTTTAATACTATGCTAAGCTGTTGTTAATTGAAATCGGAAGTTAAGGCTTCCAGTTTCCTTGCAGCCATGTTGGAGAATAAGAAGGGAAGGAAGAGATGGCGCAAGCCTGAAACACATCAGCTTATTCCTGCAGTAAGCCATGGTTTATTGTCACTTCAGAACAAGCCACAGTGAACTGTTTAAAGGTAGCTGCACCAAAGGGTTTTGTTTTTCCTTTTCTCCTGATATCTGTTCCATTCTGGTCTGGCTGAGTGGTATTAAGAAAAGCCCATTTGCAACGGCACTAAATCAAATTGAGGTTGTGAACTCAAGGAGTGTCTGGTAGAAGCAGAGTGGTGGAGTTTGTGGAGAAGGTTGGCATGAACAGTTTGTTCCGAACTGGAATGTAGGCGAAAGGTCCCCGATAGACGGCTAGCTTTATTTATTTATTTATTGCTTTTGTTACATAATGTTGTTAACAATAACAGCTGGGATGGGGTGTGTATGTCTTGTTTTGGAGATGTGCCTGCTTCATCACCTCGCCCTGGTCTTATTTTAGTTTGGATCCCTCTCCTCTAGATTAAACATATTTAGCCCTGTCTGTGCATGCAGATAAGGCTAGAGCCAGCAGAGCCTTCACCTCTGTCTCTAGCCAGTCTCATTGCAACCCAAGAGTCTCCCAAATACCTCGCAGCAAAAAGCCGGCTGTCTGAAGCAGGAAGCCCTGTTGGGCCAGATGCACCGAACAATTAATAAGTAAAGCAATAGTTCAGAAGTGCTTGCCTTCCAGCTAATGTAGGGAGGCAGTGGGTATGTCAGTAGAAGGCCTAGGGATCTTCACTGGTTGCCGTCACCCCATGGATCTCACTCATTTTATTTAGATATTTTGATACTACTCTTTATCATAAAGTCACAGGGGGATGCGCAACTTATTAAAATGCACAAATGCATATTCCGAGGCCAATTGAAACATCTATATGAAATAAACTCAGCACAAACTAAAATAACAAAGGATAATGTAAGGTGACAATGGGTACCATACACTGACCTCAGTGTATTATGCCTCCTAACTTCCAGAAACCTGGGGGGGGGGGAGTGTATTCACTTCCCTCTTGAAAGAGTAGGCAAGACACTACAGTACTCAGTAGGGAGATAGTTCCATTGTTTTGGAGCTGCCACAGGAAAGGCTGTACTGTGGGTCCTCACACTACTGAACACCTCTGTTGTAGTGGCCATCAGGAGGTTCTCCTTAGCTGATCTTCAGGCCCAGGTGGTAGGTTGGTAAAAGAGAAGTTCTCTTATTTTAATGTCAACATAAGCACTTTGACTTGGGCTCTAAAGAGAATTGGCAAGCTGTGCAGCTGTTTTAGTACTCTGGAGCCCTGCATTTTACACTAGTTGCAAGTTCTGAACCATTTTGGAAGAGCAGTCCTACAAAGAATACAGGACAGTAGTCTAATCTGAAGGACAGCAGAGCATGGATAATAGTGGCCAGGCTATCTCTATTCAGGAAAGGATGCAAACGAGTGCAACCCCTATCAGAAGAAGGGTGTTATGCTGATTCTCGGACTCTGTGCAACCACAGCACCTCTGCTTGTGTAGATTCAGCTTCTGTTTCTTGGCCCACACCCAGCCCATTACTGCTTCCCCAGGCACCAATGAAACAGAAGGAGCTGTGTGTCATCAGTATATTGGTGGCAATTCAGATCCCCTGAATATGGCTGCTATAACCTGCCAGACTCGCCAAGCAACTGTTAATTGGTATATTTGCAATTGCCTATAAGTGTTTGGAAATTTGGGGGTGGGACAGACTGTAAACTGTATCTGCATAATAAAACCTTCAATGATTCCTTGTCATTCTTTCTGTCCTCCCAGAGGTATGTTGATGGAGGGATTTCTGACAACCTGCCACAATATGAGCTGAAGAACACCATCACGGTGTCCCCTTTCTCTGGGGAGAGTGATATCTGTCCACGGGACAGCTCCACAAACATCCATGAGCTCAGGGTCACGAATACCAGCATTCAGTTCAACATGCGCAACCTCTACCGCCTTTCAAAGGCCCTGTTTCCACCAGAGCCTCAGGTGAGAGCCCAGCATGATTGTCTATATTTTTGTAGTGATTCTTGAGCTTCCATAGATGGTAAATATTGTTTATGGCTCTTCATTTGAAGGAACTTCAGGCAACCTGAATTTATATACTTTCTAAATACAAATCATTGTAGTCATCCCTCATCAGAGCACTTCATCTGTCTTAGCCCTTATGCTTCTAACACAAAACTGTGCATGTTTACTTGGAAGTGAGTCCCACTGGTGTTGGATGGAGCTTACACACCTATAGAAGCCAACCTGCCCTCCATAAAGCTTCAGTGGTGTTTGTGCCACCCATTTCTGAGAGACGGGCATATGGTGTTTCATGAACAGCTGCACGTTTCCTTTTAGAAACAGGCAACAAAGTCACTGAAAGGCACGTGGGTGATCAGCCAATGCACTTCATGTAACTTGGGACTCCCACTCCCATTCTTTAGAGGGTGTTGACAGGTAGCCTAATTTGGAATGGCAAATGCTCATTCTATGATTTAATCTGACTTGTTTTTTTAAAGTGATGGGACAAGAAGCCTTCAAAACTTTTGGAATGCACTGAATGCCTTTTTTAATCCCATTGGAATAACATGAAGACACCTGAAAATACCTTCAATTAGGCATTGTTTGAAAATGCTTATGGACTGTATTCAGTCCACTGACATTCCTTTGTTGGCCTTCTTTCTTCCCTCATGGGTGTTCATTCAGAGCCATTGCCCAGACCATAACATGTCTCCTCCGTGTTCCTGCCTCTTCCTTTAGTTAGCAACATAACAAATGCTGTTGGTCCGTTCTTGCTTTCTGCCCTTTCTCCCTCTTTTGTTGCTGCAGTAGAAAACACTGTTGGGGTAGCAATGGTTATAACCAGAAAACAAGCCCCTCTTGCCCTTCCAACTGGAATGTTTAGACACAGGCTTTCATCATCATACCTGACTCTCCTTTATCTCTGTGTGCAGGTTCTGCGGGACATGTGCAAGCAAGGATACAGGGATGCACTGCACTTCTTGAAAAAGAATGGTAAGCACTTAGCAAAAGGTTTTGCCTTCCCTCCCCACCCAAATTTTCTAGCAAAAGTAAAACTGTGTAAAAACATTTTTCTTCTCTGCTTTATAAGTTTCCTTGTGTCCTGTTTGTGCATAAAATCCATTGGCGGCCATGCTTAACCCTCAGTTGTCCCATCTAACCAGTTGTTGCTATGCAGAAAACATTTTTAATAGTACCTAAGCAGCAGCCAGCTTCATTATTACCAATTGTATTTCCACTTAGCTGAGGTTGAGCACCCTTTCCATTCTACATCATTAGAAAAGTTCTGAGTAAATCAAGAGGTTTTACATACTCCTACACAAATCGCTGAATGAAAGCAAAATGTTGGATATGACAAGAGAGTCTATTTTGTATTTGATCACATAGATGCAAAATGGCACTGGGTATGATCCGCTGGGGTCTTCTCCTGCACAAAATTAATTTAATGGAAGCTGTGCAAGAGCATAACAATGCTTCTCTAGCACTCTGCCTATTATTCTGGCATGAGCCGGTGCTGTGGCCAGAGCACACTGTTTGTGTCTATAGTGCCACCTTGTGGTACACTGTCTGTAGTGCAGCAATCTTGTGCACTGTATTTTTTTGTCCTTACAGTTCATGAGTTAACTACTTACATTGATGCAGTTCAGGTCTTGCCTGTGTGCTTCCTACAGGCAACAGTTGGTCACTATGAGAACAGGATACTCAACCAACTGAGGCTTTGCTCTGATCCAGAAGGGCTCTTTTTATGTTCTTATATTACATGATTCAGCAACCCCACTGTGCTACCCCAGAGAAGGCAATTAGAGAGGAAATTGACTTGGTGACAGCCAAAGATTTCTTATGGTTGCAGGTGTAAAAGGGTCTACTTGGGACTTCTCATTGAAGCTATGTATAGTAGTTCTAGAATTCAAATGGTACTTTACAGAATGTGTAGGCATATACAGTGGTACCTCTGGTTACAAACTTAATTCATTCCGGAGGTCCGTTCTTAACCTAAAACCATTCTTAACCTGAGGTACCACTTTAGCTAATGGGGCTTCCTGCTGCTGCCACGCCGCCACCACCACGCAATTTCTGTTCTCATCCTGAGGTAAAGTTCTTAACCTGAGGTACTTCTTCCTGGTTAGCAGAGTCTGTAACCCAAAGTGTTTGTAACCTGAGGTACCACTTCAGGCATGTCCAACAGGTAGATCACAATCTACTGGTAGATCACGGGGTGTTCCTGGCAGGTCCTGGTTGATCTCTGGCCCCTCAGCGATCTCCTTACAAAAAAAGCAAAAAAAACCCCAACAACAAAAACCAAAACTCCCACCAACTTTGGCTTCCTAAAAAAAGCTCCACAACCTTTGGGTAGATCACTGCCAGTCTTTTTACGACAATGAGTAGATCACTGCCAGTTTTTTCATACTGTGAGTAGATCACAGACTATTGGGAGTTGGAGGTCCCTGGATAGATAAACCACGTGGTACTGAGTTCTTAGAACTACGTTGCTTCAGTCTGCAGAGGTGGGGTATATTTGTGGGCAGGATTTAACATTTAAATGTCCCTCCATGTGCATGTTTTACAAGAAACGACATACTTCTGCTGCACGATACTTCCAGGTATTAGACAGCACACAGTATGTACAACATACGTGTTACAATATTCTTTTAAATATTTGTAAACTAAACTTTATTCAAACAGATCCGATGGCAGTGTACAGTTATTACAACAAAGAAAGGAAAGCATAATCCACCATAGAACTATTGTTTTAAGATACCTGTTGTTTTTTTAAAAAAAATGTTCCAAAGACAAATGCAGCACTTAAAAAAAAAAAGTCTGAGTAAACAAATAAGTTTTGACCTGGTGCCCAAAAGAGTGTAGCATTGATGCCCGCTGAGTCTTTTCCCGAGGAGCTATTTCTCTCTGCTTTGTAAACCCTCTTGCCTTGCACAGCTGTCTCACATGCCTTGGTGGCAATTTCATGCCCAGTGCTTATTGTACACGATATCCTCTGTGACAGCAGGTGGCTTTTGGCTGTGACTGCCACTTTCTCCACTGTTAGGAAAGATAATCTGCAAAGCATATTAAGTTTTTGGTTGAAGCACATCAGTTCCTTCTTCCTTCTTCCTCAGGTCTTCTCCATCATCCAAGACCCACCAACCCTTTGCTGGCTATTGAAAATGGTGCTGGGGTGAGGAATGCTGAAGAAGAGGAGGAGGAGGAGGAGGCAGGGGAAGAGGACCAGCTGAGAGAGAATGCTGCACTGGCAGAGGCTGAAGATCACATTCTTGAACACTTGCCTCCTAAACTGAACCAAGGTATGATCTTGGGTTGGAGAGTCTGCTGTGTGTCTGTGTCTAACCCAAGGCTCTCCTCATTACACAGACTAGGCTGAGGCTTTTATAATGCTCTAGGGGTGAGGAACATGTAGTTCAGCAGCATCTGATGATGGGCCTCCGCCACGAGTTCCCCACCCCTGACTTATGTCCTGCTTTTTTCCTTTGTGGGAGAAAATGGGAGAAGCGGAGGAAAGAAGAATGTTGAGAGGCTAAAAGATAGACATTCCGATTCTGCACATATGCATACATTTTATTTTGTTCTGTGCAGATGATTTGGTTTCCCTGGTACATAGTCGAACTACAAGTTCCAGGCTCTGCGGAGGAAGCCATGATGGTTAAATTGATTTCATTGTATAGTTGGCCATAATTGGCCATGTCCAAAGGTAAATTAGGAAACTGTGAATACATGAAATACACAGGGTGGGCAGTATGGCAGGGACCCCTGACCATTAGGTCCAGTTGTGACCGACTCTAGGGTTGCGGCGCTCATCTCGCTTTATTGGCCGAGGGAACCGGCATACAGCATCCGGGTCATGTGGCCAGCATGACTAAGCTGCTTCTGGCGAACCAGATCAGTGCACGGAAACGCCGTTTACCTTCCCGACGGAGCGGTACCTATTTATCTACTTGCACTTTGATGTGCTTTCAAACTGCTAGGTTGGCAGGAGCTGGGACCAAGCAATGGGAGCTCACCCCGTCGTGGTGATTTGAACTGCCGACCTTCTGATCGGCAAGTCCTAGGCTCTGTTGTTTAATCCACAGCGCCACCTGCGTCCCTATGGCTAATGTAAGGGGATACAATTTGCTCCATGGCCCCCTGCAGACATATCGCAGGACTTCAGAAGATCTCTATTTCCCATTAATAACACAAGTGTACTGAGCAATGTTTTGAAAGTGTGCATGTGTTCACATATGCATGTGGAAATTCTGAAGTTGGTGCACAGCACTGACTTGAAACTCTGGTTCCAACCTCCACTGCCCAGTAAAGTTGGTATCTGAGAAGAACAGGCTGCCTGCCTTGATTTAGGGTCTGGCTACAGTTTTTTTTTTTCCTATTGGAACTTCTCTTAGGTGACTCATGAGATAACGGATAGTGGACACAGAAGCATAAAAACCAGCAAAATTGTCGGGAAATGCCTGTAGACAGATAAGATGGGGATCAGTGTTGAGGAGAGATGAATAAAGTGATTTGCTGCCAGCTCTAGAATTGACACAATCTTCCCACCTATAACAAACCTCTTGGTCCCCCTGCTTAGTAGTAGATGCATGTTTATGGCTAGAGAGATTTTGTGGATCTTCAAAGTAGTCTGGACACCCAGTAATTGCTTTTAAAATGTTGGTGACTTGTTCTTTCCAATTCCCACTTCTGTTGTAGCATGCGAAGTCCCTCACTTCATTTCAAACCTACACCTGCATTGGGAAATTAGAAGTTAATGCTGTTTTTTTTGAACTGCAGGGCCTTCAGAGCCCTGGCAATAACATGTTGCTAACTCATACTGCCCAACAGAATTGAAGGTTTCCGAGGCATTCAAGTTCTATAGTGAATACTACCTTTTAAATGAGGCATGGGGCAAACAAAGCAGGCTTGGTCTCTTTCTCTGGGGAAGAAGAGTAATAGAAATCCCTCTGGCTGCTTCTCATGAGCTGGGCGAAGTCTTATACTGTATTTTTATTCCTTGCCTTTTGGGCTGATGTTTGGAGCCGCGAAAGGGCTAAATTTTGGACAGGGGTTTCTCCTCTAAAAATTGAGAGGGGGCAGTCTCTGCTTTCCCCATTGAATTGGTGCCTGGAATAACTCACTGTCTCCATCTCCAGCTCTCTTGGAAGCCTGTGCTGAGAGGAGGGGATTGTTCACCGGCATTGCCAACCTGTTGCCTGTGCGCCTGGCCTCTACCTTGATGCTCCCATACACTCTTCCTCTGGAGTCGGCTCTCTCCTTCACTGTCAGGTATGCTCTAAATCCTGTTTCTGATATGCTTTTGGGAAATGCTTGTGATTGGGACCTAGATTGCTGTATCATCTGCATCGTTAAGAACTTGCTATTCTGTGGGACTTAGTTCTAAATAAAACAAGGGTAAAATCCACTCCAAGGGAATTTATTGAAAGCCAAGAACCCTCTCCCATGTGGTTGTCAATGGCTACTAGCCATGAGGTCTGTGTGCAGGGTCAGAGGTGGCTATCAGCCACTGGGAAACAGTAGCAGGAACAAACTCTTGCTCTCATGTGCTGCATCTGGGCTTCCCATAGACACCTAGTTAGCCACCATGGGAAATGGGATTCTGGACGAGAAAGGTCACTGGTCTACTCTAGCAAGGGGGGGGCATGCTCTTTATGTGAATACTTGCCATTGCCACAAGAGGCGCCCTTGTGCAGGCTGTTTTTAAGAACACCTTTGCAAAGCTGCCACGTGGCTGGTGCTCCTTCGTGCTTGCAGTGTAGCAATGGCCTGCGTTACGTAACAGCGTCCCTGTTGGTCACCTGTCTCCTTCAGGTTGCTTGAATGGCTGCCAGATGTCCCTGAGGATATCAGGTGGATGAAGGAGCAGACGAGGAAAGTCTGCCACTATCTGATGAGGAAAGCCAAGAAGAAGCTGGGAAGCCATCTCTCAGCCAGGTAGGATTATCTTGTTTGCTTTTCTAAGTATTGCGACACTGGGAGTTGCCATAGGACTGGCGCCATATAAATGGTAATCAGGGGGACTTTGGCCTCCAATCTGACCGTGCTTATTCAGAAATCAGCCCCTTTGTACTCTCCTCCAAGTTTGTGTGCTTAAGATGGCAGTTCTAGATTTGTCATCTTACTTTGCACAGCCCTCTATAAAATAAAGGTGCCTTACTCTTCAGGAAGGTTTAGTGTTACTGTGCCTAGGTAACCGAATACATGGTTATGAAACTACAGGCAATTCCAGCACTGTGCGCTTCTTTTTCAAGAAACCAAATAACTGAAAACCTAGGCTTGACAATCCCCAGTTTTGTTTTGACGGTGAAATAACATAACTAAGTGCCTGAAGTCCTTAGATGTTGTACGTAACATATTTGAAAGGGCCTAATTTTCTTTCCAAAAGAAAAAGGCCTAATTTCCAAGGGTGTTGTTCAACTAAGTTTTACTCCAGAGTTAAACCCATTGAAATTAATGAACCTGTTAGGGTCTTTGATTTCATTACATCTACTCTGAGTAAAACTTAGATATAGTAGCACCCCATATACAGAGTGTTCTGAAGAGCTATCTTGGATTAAGTTTAAAACCCAAACAACCCTCTTCAAATGCATCTATTTGCTCACTCTTGGTTCAGTTTTTTTCCTGTATGCGAACATGTTCCCAGGGCAGTTCAGGACAGTGGGCAAAAATGTATTGTGTGTGAACTGCCAAAAAGTGATTGGATTCTATCTCAAAGGTGGGGGGGGGGGGAGATAGCCAGAGGTTGCCCATATGGAGATAGCCATGGATGCTGGAAAACTGGCTTTGGGCTGAACATTGATTCTTGGTATAATAGCCGGTGGTCAATAGCATTGGCAGAGAAACTAACATGTCAGGTCAGAACAGCAAAGGGCAAACACCATCTCTATTCTTTTTATAATACATGGCAAAAAAAATATCATTGAATATATAAATTGTTTGGATAGTGGTAGGAATCCACCTAAGACTCACAGGGAAACGTGGTGTGATCTTTTAGAGCAACCAAATGGGATGTTGTATAGCAAGACAAATGTATATGATTTTATTGGGACAGGTTGTTTGTTATTTCCTACTTTAGCAATTGTTTATATGCTTAATTAAATAACAACAACAACAACTTTTTTAAAAAGTAAGGAGGAGAGAAAGCCACTACGTATCTATTTTTCCAACCTAACAACAGGGACCCTATTTCCCTTTACTTTCCATGGAATGACTTATAAAAATGTTCGTTCCTGCAATAGCAGATGATTTTTCTACGATCTTCCAATTCACACATTAATTTCTCAGGACAGTTCTGTATGTCAACTGTCAACATGCAAAAGATATCAGGATGGTTTGTGCAGACAAATGTGTTGTTTGAAACAGCTTTCAGTAACAAAGCTGTCATTTAATGTTTTACAATATAACAAATAGATGGTTTTTCCAAGTGATTTGTTGGCATTTATCGTGTGACAATAAACAGTTACCACTTCAATGGGTGGCTCGTGCATTACATCTGGGTGTCGCACTTGCACTTGGCGGGGTGCAGGTTTTATTGAGAGATAACGGAGCCCATTCTGCCAGTGGAGAATCTCATTTTGCAGAGCAGCCCACTCTACGCAGCTTGTGTTCTCACTTGTACACCTGACTCACTTTCTCAGACCGAATGAAACTCAGCAGTGTGACGACCGTCAGCCTGGGGACTCTGGAGGCTCCAAGTTTCCCCTGGACCTCAGTCAGCTCACGTGGCACTTTCTGCTTATGGGCCAATGACGGGACTAGGAAGGGGCAGGACTAGGATAGCCAGGGTGTCAAAGGTCAGTATCGAGGCATGCAAGGAGAATCTGAGCACTGCTCACCTGCACCTTCCATGATCCTAGCCTGTGCTGCTGACTTTTTGTATGTGACGGTAGCATCACACTGGCATCTTGTACTGTTAAGGGGAAATTGCAATGGGGAATGTGTGATCTTTTATCCCCCACTCCTCTCTCTGTATCTCCATGTCTAGCCTGGAAGCTCCAGTGCAGCAAGCAGCGCTTGTGAGTACAGCATGACAAACAAACTAAACATCTTCCTCTCTCTCTCTCTTTCTCTCTCTCTCTCAGGCTGTACTACCACCTGGAACTCAGAAAAAGTCAAAGCTTGCCCCTCCCCTTGAGCATCGGCTATGGGGAGGCGCTGCCCAAGTGGCTGCGGAGTAACCTCTCCCTGACGGACGTTATGACAAAATGGGAGGAGTACCAGCGCCAGCTGATGCTGGGGTTGTTCTGCATCAACGTGGACCTGCAGGCATCCATCTTCCCATCAGAAGGGCTGCAGATGAGGCACCCGCCAGCAAGCTGCACACAAGAAAGCCTCCAGCTTTTCTGATCTCGTTGCCACACTTTGGGCAGGGGAGGGTGGACAGCCGCTGCCTCTCAACAGCCTCCTAATGGAGCTGTAACACCTGCTAAGAGACTTCTTATTTTCTCATTTGCAGAGTGAGAATTTACATCAATATAGCCATTGTGCAACTGCTAAGCTGGTGGCTGCACAGTGTTCAAACCCATAGCAATGTGTTGGGCGTTGTGTACACTCTTAGAGATGATGGTGTATAAATGCCCAGCACATGTGACAAAAGTGCTTGGTCTCTTGGTTGAACCAAAAGAGTTTTGCTTGGGACACCTTTTCAGAGGCCTCATATCATATTGAACTTGCCGTTTGTGATAAGAGGATTGGGACACAAATCAGTACTCTGGCATTGCTTTTAATCTCCTTTGTTTTACATCAGTGTTGTAAAAGGGTCTTTGTTTTGAAGAAAGCTGAGTCCCTCATAGATCATCTTTGCCTGCGCTACACAGAATAGTGAAAAGCAGGCAGGCTACAACAACTGGCTGCCAGATTGGCTCTTGTTATCTAAGGCAGCCCTTGGTTTTCAACTCTCAGCTGATGCACCTTTTTAAATGCCTGTGCCCCACATTCTCTTTCAAATCTATCTGGGTGCCACTGCTCTTAATATAGATGTTAGGAATGTAGACTTGTAAAAATGAACTCTTAGAACACTAGAGTTCCTTGTTCCTCTCAGGATCACCCTCTTCTAAGGGACTTTTTTTTTTAACTATGGAGAGAGAAAATATTAGAAGCTCTGAAACGTGCTTCGTAAGGGTTGTACTAAAAGTAGGCCCATTGAAATTAATGGCCGTAACTAATTTAGATCCATTAATTTCAGTGGGTCTCATCTGAGTAAAATTGAATTGAATACAATCGTAAATGTATGCTTGAGCTATGCTGTTCTTTTCTTTTCGATGCTCCATGTTGTTTGGATGATGCTATTTCCACCCACCCACCCAAAACAACACTACTACGTTATTCTTCAAATGTGCAGAAAGGATGTAAAGAAGGATAGAGGAAGAATGCAGGAGCTAAGAGAGCTTAGTGTATGTTTTTCAAATGGTTTGTGGCTCATCTGATGAGCTGGAGCTGAGCATGTGAGGAGAGAAGGGGTGTTTTGCCACTCACAAAATGAAAGTGAAGCTGGAGGCCAAAACTGATGCTGGCCAAACTGGATTTAACCTCGAGGAATCCATATGCACTTTGTGCCAGTGGTATATTTGATCACTTTTGAAAGGACCTGGCAACCCCAACAGAATTGTGACTGGTGTGGTGGTTAGTCAGGAGGGTCAGGAGCTGGAGGTCCTAAAAGGGATGGCAGTACAGTGTGAAAAGGAGGAAAAGACTGCCAGAAGGTGTCAGAAGTGAATGCACACCCTTCTTTCTATCCACCTGTGTCAGAGGTGGGGAACCTTGCACTCTCCAGATGTTTTTGGACTCCATCAGCTGCAGAAAGCATGACCAATGGTCAGGGAAGGTGGGAGGCGTTGTCCAACATCTGGTGGACCACAGGTTCCCCTCCACTGTACCACAGGCTAGTTCAGTGGATCTTGATTCCTGTTCTGCGAATGAAACAGGGATTAATGTCTTAGGTTAACCTGAAGGGCTTCCCCCCTATAGTTCACAGAGCCAGAAGGACATTTAGTTACTTGCCAGGTTCTGAAGTTTTCTGAGCCAAAGATCTGGTATGTGTTCCCAATGCTTTTGCAAAGTTCCCCACTTGCTGGAATTGTTCACTGTAGTGTGTGATAAAGGTTTAAGCACTCCATGTAGCAGCACATGTCCTGTCTGCTATATAGAACCCCTCTCCCTACAGATGCCTTTCAGATGTGATATACAGACTACTAATTGTCTCAGCACTAAACTGTTATCTCACATTTCACTGCTGTTGCCTTGTTCATGCTACTGCGTAGCCTAGCAGAGATTTGCTGTGGCAGCAAAGCGGCAGCATTCCTTATCATATAGCAATACTGTTTTCTGTGGCTTGCTTTTCCATTGGCTTTGGGGCATATCTATGTACCTGTATACATAATATAAATATATATTTCTTCCCTGTTGTGATTTGTACCATGAAAGCACAGATAGGTTTGTGCTACAGGGAGAAACAAGTCTTTGTATCTGTAATGCGCGGAGGTTGACTTCCTTTGCACACTAACCTACCATCTTCGATCCTCTCACAACGCAGTCAGTCAGTTGAATGCCAAAGAGAACCCAAGGGGTATTCAGGGGCAGAGGGAGCTGGCACAGTACATATCAGTTAAGCAGTGTTAATAGAGATGCAAGTCAGAGTGCCACTGCAGAACAAAGGGGTGGGTATTCTTTGGTAGGCATACCTCACTACTCAGTGTACATTGAATAGATTTGCGTTTTTGTTCATTCCAAAGCATCTGAGTAGTGGTGTGTTGCACTGCTGAGCTTTATGAGACTCTTTGAGGCCCACGAGGTACATCCTTGGGGCACTTTTTTTTTTTAAGAAAAGAAAATTCAGAGTATAATGATTTGAAATGGGCTCAAGTCAGGACATTATGACTTTGTAGTGCATTTTTTTTTTATGGTGGCCAATACTAGGATTTATAGAAATGCTTTCATCTGCAGAGCTTCTGGAGTGACACAGCTGCTAAACAGATTTTGAGAATGAGTAGCATTATGAAAACCATCTTGACGCTAAAAGAAAAATATTCCAATTCATAATTGACTGCTCATGTAGCATAAGTGCCTGCCTTAACAATTTTGTAAGTAGTTTAGAAACGTGGAATTATTCAAGTATGAAGCCTTTGTGACTAGGCAGGATGGGAGTGGTGAGCATTTGGCACTAGCCAATGCAATAGTCCCTCTTCTATAACTTTATGTAAACACACAGGGTGGCAAGGAATTTACTGTTCTCTCTACAAACATTTGCCTTGGAGCTCTAGCTGCGGACTTAACTTTGGAGATGTTGCATGTGTGTTTAGTTTTATGTTGGTTGAGAAAACAATGCAGCCAGCAGCTATTTGTGCAGAGGAAAATTTAGAGGTCCTCTGCATTTTAACTGAAATATAGTCTGTGGTGCCATTTCTGTGGAGGGCCTTACCTAAAAATGGAACTCCTTATTTGGAGGAAGACATGCTGTTAAATTGTTGCTACCTGTTTCATGCAAATGTTTGCATGATCCCCTGTATTCTCATTGGGAGGGGGGAAATGCTCATGAAGAGCGCATCATAGTAAACATCTATCTCACCCGTCTTCCATGAAATAATAGCAAGCATCTCTAAGCAGGGCTCTTGGAGTCAACCTATTGAAATACTGCAAGTCCATGGATTTCAGTGGGTCTGCTCTGAGTGTGATTAGCATGAAATAGCACCCAGAATCTTTTTTCTCTTAAGGAGTGCTTGTATATCAAAAAGTCTCTTCTCTCCTATAGAAAGATGATAATAGCTAGAGACTTCTTGTAATTCATGTGAACTACCATTTGGTCTGCTCCAAGTAATATTTTTTTTTGGGGGGGGGTTCTTGTATTTTGAAATATTCAGAAAAAAAGACATTGCCTTCGTCATCCCAAATTCTGCCATGTGCTAATTTTCCCCTGTTTTATCATAATGTAAATGTGAACTTCTTTCCTGTAAGAAAACAGTAAACATGTTTGTATGTGTACATATATAGTCAACCACTAACTTATTCAACACTGTATCTTATGCTGTTGTTTTTTTAATGTCTTGCACAATTTAAATCGGGTTCCCAGACTATGATTTGTGGACCACCAGTAGTCTGCTAGCTTCATCTAGGTGGTCTGTGACATGTATGCAAAGAACACTTACAATTTGAATTCTAGGGGATTCAAATTGTAATACATTAAAATATAAAATATAAAAGAAGCAATAGAAATGAAATTAAAAATCATACAGCATCTAGCGCAGCACACTGCAGTTGCTAGAACAGGCGGGGGGATCATTTTAGTCACTCAGCAATTTTTGAGTGGGAAATAAAGTGTGGGAACCACTGATTTAGGTTTTTCTAGTAAGTTGCTGCTTAAGGCAGAATGATTATACTACTGTGTTTGTTTTGCTGCTAATATGTTATAATTTATATGGCCTCTTCTGTAGCAACCCATCTGGTCAGATGGGAAAATAACCAGGGTTATAAATGCTTGTTTCATCAAGTAAAATTCAGTATTTTTTCCTGCTTTAATTTTTAATTGCTTTAGTTGGACGAAATCCAGATTTTATTGCCAAAACCTAGTATTTTGACATGCATTGGGTGTTTGAAAGGAAAAGAGATCCATGATGTTCTTTAACCCTAACTTCTTTAAAAAAACAAAAACATGTTAAAATGCTATGGGCTAGGTTAGTCTCGGCTCTAATAACCACCAACCTGTAAATTAAGCACAAGTAGTAAGAAGCTATGCACCATAGCTGTGTGCTAGCTGGGGAAGCCAACCTCTCCCACTTTTTGTCTTGGAAAAGGCTTTGTAATGCCAAATTTGGAGTCTTTTGGATAAAGGCTGAAATAGGGTGACGCAGGTGCAAGCTTTTGCGTGACTTGGCACTTAATATACGGTAGTTTCCTCAGACTAAAGAATGGCATCTGATTACACCAGAAGCCAATGGAACAATAGCTTGCCTTAATGGCTTGCCTGTATCTTGCTAGTGTAGCATTGTTCTCAAGTTTTCACAGTGCCTTTTCTTCCTTTTTTAATGCCACTTGCTGCTGCTGTCCTTACAGCACCCATTCCTCTCCTGTTCTCTCTATATCCAGTTTCCTTGCAACCAGTAGCAGCTTGTGGATTAGTAATGTTGCCACAGACGCTGTGGTTGCTGTGACAAGGGACTGGTGTACTCTCTGTTCCACTGATGCACACCAGCCTGACCTGCAATCTGCAGAAAATCCAAAGTGCCAAATAGAGAATAAGACCCAACCTTTAGAACTAATTTTATTTTGTATTAGTCTTACTTGAGACCAGAAATCTCTGGGCTGATTTGGGGGGGGGGTGTACTCTGATGTGATTGTGCACTTGTGGGACAGCCTGTCATAGATCAATGTTAGCACTTGCTCACGAGTAACATATTTTGTCTGAAGTCAGAGCAGCAACAAGATTAGTGAGGAAACAATTTTATTTTACATGGCGATTATCATTAGGGAGCATTTTAGTAGTCATTGCTTGAATAGTTCCATGTTTGATATTGTTATGCTTTGCTTCCCCCCCCTTCCCCATGTTTTATTGGAAATGTGTTAAGTATTTATTTTGAAACGATATACCTCCCTAATAAAATAATTCCTAAAAATGTGAACTGGTGTGTGTGTTTTAATTTGTACCCCCTGGGCTTGGCAGCTGTAATCACGTGGTGCTTTCTATTGAAAGCTGAACTTGTTTGATGCAATCAGCTTGGGGGGGAGAGGTGGAGAGAGATGCCTGGCCATCCAAAGATGGAAGGCAGACCCCGAGGTACCCTAAGCTTGGTGACACCAAGGTGCCTCGTGTGACCCTACCCTGACATCCCATTCTCACAACTACTCCTTTGGAAGCCACCAATTATTCTCAGGAGCCCATTAGGAATTGGAGCCATAGCTTGTTACTCACCCAGCCCAGCTAGACTCCTCACCAACCCTTTGCCTCAGTTTTCTACCCCCTGTCTGTCATGAAACCAGGTGATCCAGGAGAACCACCATGTATTTTGCACTGAGATCCTTTGCTGATTTAACACACATCCAGAAAACCTTTCATTCTGGCCTCTCGTTTAGAGCAGCTGTCACCAGTTGTGAATTCTGAAAGTGCAGGGACTTGTTGGTCCCATCTGACTCTCCTGTGTTTGTGTTGGCCAAGTTGATACTCGTGGGTTTGTTACTGCATCATCTGGGACAGATGCAAAATCTGTGCACCCCTTATTTAACACACTCTTTCCAGCCTCACTATTTTGTGCATATATTTGCCAGAGATGCTTATTGTAGCTCAGTGGTAGGGACACACATTTCACTTATATAGAAGGTCCCAGATTCAATCCCTGACATCTCCAGGTAGGGCTGGAAATAGGTAGACCCCCATCTGAAACCTTGGACAGCCACTACCTTGCAGTACAGACAACAGTCAGCTTAGATGGTCTGACTCAACATAAAAGACTTTCCTGTGTTGTTAACCAAAGCCACAACACAAGATTATGTAAAGGGGAAAGGGGGGGGGGCTTAATAAAAGCACCGTAAAAGTACCTGAAGGAGCGTCTCCACCCCCATCATTCAGCCCAGACACTGAGGTCCAGCTCCGAGGGCCTTCTGACGGTTCCCTCACTGCAAGAAGTGAGGTTACAGGGTACCAGGCAGAGGGCCTTGATGGTAGTGGTGCCCGCCCTGTGGAACGCCCTCCCACCAGATGTCAAGGAAATAAACAACTATCTGACTTTTAGAAGACATCTGAAGGCAGCCCTGTTTAAGGAAGTCTTTAATGTTTTATCGTGCTTTTAATATTCTGTTGAGAGCCATCCAGAGTGGCTGAGGAAACCCAGCCAGAAGAGTGCAGTGTAAATAATAATAATAATAATAATAATAATTACCATGGATGGTAGCATTAAAAAGTAACATGCTTCTATGATATCTTGACCTAAATACTAACAACAGTCAAAGAAATGTAAGCAAGATTCCCATGGATTCCCCAGATTCGCTTAAGTTAAGGAAATGGTTCTCAAAGGAGGCAGTTGATAGCCACCAACATGGATGGAATTTAGACAAATTCATGGGGGATATCAATGGCTATTAACCTTGATGGTTATGCTCTGTCTCTAAGAGGCAATAAGGCTTTTGAATATCAGGAGCGGAGAGCGCGCTTGTGTTCAGGTCCCGCATGCGAGTTTGTATCAGGCGCCTGGTTGGCCACTGTGCGAACAGGATGCTGGACTAGATCGCCGTATGTTCAGAGAAAGAACAAAAAGTCCTAATGGATGGAGGCCAATCCACGACAGATTATGCCGCCGCACCATGCGTTAGTCTTCAGGTGCCACAGGATCCCTGCTGCTGCTCTGGGAGCTGCCACGCATCTAGGAAGAAGCAAGCCATAGGAAGACCCTTTTAACTTATCTGCCCCTTCAGTGCTTCCGCATACCGTCCGCGTCACTTTCAGACGTGCGCCGGACAGGGAGGGCGGCAGCTCCTGGAGCGGCGAGCGGTCTCCAAGCGCTGCCTTTCCTCCGCCTGGAATCCCTCTGGATCTGTTCTGTTCGATCGAGCCAGGCATTTCGCCACCGGCGCGGCTATATCTGTGCCCGCCTCCCAACCTCCCCCCCCCCCCGCTTCCACCCTCGGCCTTGGAAAAAGCAATACATTGACGCGGACGGGGCTGCTGGTATGTCAAGGTTAATTCGCGCGCTCGGCCAACGGCTTCGCTGCGAGGATTCCCCGCCCGCGGCCCTTGGAGCCACCCCGCTTCACAACTAGCTGGTCCCGAGGAGAAGGAGGAGAGCGGGGACCCGCCTGCAAACTTTTCGCGCGGCCCTGCACGTGCGCGCGCCCCTAAAGTGGGGCCCGCGCTGGGCTGCAGCCCGCCTTGCGCTACAGCGCCTCATCCCAGCCACGCGCTACTCAGCAGGAAGCGCCGTCCAAGTTCAGCGGGGCTTCCTCGCGGGTAGCCGCTTATAGGGCTGCAAGCCCGGCTTCGACGCCTCGAGGCAGGGCCCGGGGCAGCAGCAGCTGCAGCAGCAGGAAGAGGCTTGGACGCGGCTCTAACTGGCCACGAGGCGAGCTTCCTTTCCCCTCAAGCAGCCCCAGGGTAGCTGGCCCTGCCCCTCCGCACCTGCTGCGAACACGTTGCGCGCCAGGGAGAGAGAAAAACGTTCAGGCAACGACCGAAGAGTTTCCTTGCTTTCTTTTACTCCCCCGCTCATCTGGCGAGTCCGGCTTCTCCAGGCATTTCCGGGTTGGGGAAAAAAAGAGAAAAGCCTCTCTCTGTTTCTTTTCTGTTTGCACATCGATCCCAACTCTTTGGACTGCTGGGCTTTTGTTTAACATCAGCGAAGGAAAAGAAATTTCCCCCTCCCTTCTGCGTCTCTTCTCAGGTGCCTTCAGGATCAGAGGTATAAGGTAACGCCGGGAGCGATCGGAAACTTTCTCTCCCTTTCTGAGAAGATAGCTATAAGGGTCTTGGGGGCCGTTTCTCTCGACCTACGTCTCACACACATATCCAGGTGAGTTTGTGCTGCACTTCACCTGGCTAACGCGGCTTCCCCTCGGAAAGGAACCACTCTTCCCACCTGCAGCCCCATCTGTGGTCTGCCTTGACCTGCGGACAGGTAGCTGGGAGGCGACGCCCCCGAAAGGCTTGCCGATAATGGCCATTGGAAGGAATGCGTCGGTATTACTTGCGAAAGGATGTGATTATTGAGCTGTAGAAGGCTTCCTTTTGAGGTATCCGGAGCCTTCAGTGGCTGGAATGCGTCCTAATCGGCTGACAGAAAATTCCACGAAAGCTTATGGTGTTGGGCCACCCACCTCACTTACTTATGTGGCTCCTCTCCCCGATGAGATTTCTAGAGAGTCAGCTGTTTTCATTCTCTTTTAGCAAACACGTTAAAGATTCTTGTGGCATCTTAGGTGTGTTAATAAACGCTAACAAACTGATAATGAGGTTTTGTGAACACAGAGCCACTTCTTCAGTGCAATCTTAGACGATAAGATGGTGACTTTATTTAGTTATTTTGTTTATAACCACATTTTAAAAACTAAAATGTGTAATATGGTTCTTTAGCAAAGCCCTCCTGAACCTGCTATCTTAAAAAAAAAATCCGCTGGCATAGTTCTTGTGCAGTGACAGGAAGAATTTCATCAGGTGGAGCTGCAATGGATGCGGTTCAGTGCTGAGAAAACTGCAGGTGTCAAACTCTTGCATTGTTCTTCACTGCAGTTGTTGCCTCTCAAGAGCTGCCTGAGACACTGAAGTTTGGCAGGTGGTGCTTTTCCTGGTGTGGAAAGAAGCATAATGGGAAATGTGTCGCCTGCTAAAGTTAAGTGTAAAGGCATATAAGCAAGACCAGATAGGTGTTTGTGTATGTGTTTATGATTACAGTGGTACCTCAGGTTACATACACCTCAGGTTACAAACACTTCAGCTTACAGACTCTGCTAACCTGAAAGTAGTACCTCGGGTTATGAACTTTGCCCCAGGATGAGAACAGAAATTGCACGGCGGCGGCACAGCGGCAGCAGGAGGCCCCATTAGCTAAAGTGGTACCTCAGGTTAAGAACGGTTTCAGGCTAAGAACGGACCTCCGGAACGAATTAAGTTCGTAACCAGAGGTAGCACTATATAGTCCTAAGAGTATTGTCATGTGTATAACAAATGAGGAAAAAGAGACATTTCAGAATGAAACAGGTTTGGAGATAGCAAAAAAAGTGAAGTACTTGGGGGTGAACTTGACAGCGAAAAATGTGAACTTATTTAAGGATAATTAGGATAAATGTTGGACAGAAGTCAAGAAAGATCTAGACATATGGTCAAGGCTGAAACTTTCCTTGTTAGGCAGAATTGCTGTTATCAAAATGAATGTATTGCCTAGAATGTTATTCCTGTTTCAGACATTACAAATAATAGACAAGATGGACTGTTTCAAGAGGTGGCAGAAAGACATATCGAAATTTGTTTGGCAGGGCAAAAAGCCAAGAATAAAATTTAAGACATTAACAGATGCAAAAGATAGAGGAGGTTTTGCCCTGCCGGACTTAAGACTTTACTATGAATCAGCAGCGTTTTGCTGGTTGAAAGACTGGCTGCTCCTCGAGAATACAGACATTTTGGATCTTGAAGGGTTTGATAACAGATTTGGTTGGCATGCATATATATGGTATGACAAGGTAAAAGTGCACAAAGGTTTTAAGAACCATATGGTGAGGAAAGCTCTGTATAATGTCTGGATAAGGTATAAAGATTTGTTTGAAAGCAGAACCCCTAGGTGGCTGTCACCAATGGAGGCAAATGAGGTGAAAAAACTGAATATGGGTTCTAATTGGCCTAAATATTTTGAAATGATAGAACAAGATGGTGAAAAAGTAAAATTGCAGAGTTTCGAGAATCTGAAGTTTAAGGTGAGAGATTGGTTACATTATCGACAGATAAATGAAGTATTTAAACAGGACAGAAAGAAAGGCTTCCAAGTGGAGAAGTCAAAACTAGAAACAGAACTGTTAGAACCCAATACTAAAAACTTGTCAAGAATGTACAACTTGCTGTTGAAATGGAATACTCAAGATGAAATGGTGAAATCTAGTATGATTAAATGGGCACAGGATATAGGGCATGACATTGAGCTTGCTG